GGCAGGCTGAAAGCTGGTTTCTAGGGTTTTGTTTAGCTTCTTATTTGCAACATAGTACATTGTTGCTTAGAGTTGCAACTCAGAGGCCGGCAACGTTGGAGTCTGCAGTCACTGAAGCAAGGAAGCCTCATGTTCGCTTCCAGCTGCCTGGCTGCTGGCCGCCATCTTGGCTGACAGTTAATTTGCATAAGGATATGCTGATTAGCCAATGGGAAGGGTAGCGGTCGTACGCCAATTACCATGTTTCTCTTTTATTAGTGTAGATAGGTTACTGAGGGGAAGGGAGGGAAGAATGAATAAAGGGATTGAGGAAGGAAGGTAAGAAGCTAGGAAGAAAAAGGAAACTCTTACAGTGACCAGTGTTCTTATCTTTTGTTAGTCCACACCTCTGCAGGAGAACAGCCTATTGCCCTCCATAAAAAATTAATACATAAAACTTCTTCCATAAGTCCTTCCTTCTTTGTGTCATAAAATGAAGGGAAAGAAAGAGATCATAATAAAACTTTGATACCAAAGATTCTCGAATAACTCAAAGCATTTTCAGTAGCTTGATATGCCTGAGAAATATAGGCAGTCACTAGTAAGGATTTAAAATCTCTCTCATAAAGTTTGAGGGGCCAAAAGGGTTATATTGGAAAGATCAGAGCTTAATGAGACTCTCACATGGGACAGCAAGATGGTGTGCATCCACACCATCAATCACTTTCTTCTAAACATGCAAATAAGAATACCAGATAACAATTTTATTCACAAATAAAAAAGGTATTACAAAACTATTCATATAAGAAAATTCCAGTATGCAAAACAATAATAATGAAATCTAAATTGAGTCAAGCTGACTACCTTAAGGCAATGATATATTTTTTCCTTTTTATGGTTTATATTTTTACTAGCATAGACAGTAAGTAGTGCTTAACCTAGGTAACAGCAACATTAACTTTATCTAAAGTAGAAATTTTATATTTGAAATATATATTCCATATACATAAAATTAGAAAACCCATGCCTTTATATGGTTGTCTTTCAAATCCTTGTCTCATTCTTGTCGATGACTGCTTGCAGCATTAAAAGTCACAATTATGCACTCCCAGCCATGTTATTACTTAATGCGTTTCCAGCTTCAGCACTCTAGCAGCTGAGTTTATTTGAGTGCTATAGGGTATTCCAACAATGTGAAATGCAAAATGGATTTTCCTCAAATGTTTACAAAGAATGTAGAATATAACACTGTATGTGTCTATAGTAGTGGGGTAAAATGTCTTCATCTTAATAAAAATAATCCAGGATTTTTCAAATGCAGTATCAAGTCAAATTGACTTTCAACTCTAAGTATTTATCTACTGATCAAAAGTGAAGTTTCAGGATTTTTGGCTAGTCTCATTCTCATCAATCTGGCTCTCATTCTCCAGCAAGTGTTTGTCTTTAAAGTTAATGAGGGCTCATATGGAAAATATATTCAGGTTACAAAAATGAGCACAACCTTGGCTTACTTTGATCATCCCTCTTTCATAACAAAAATGATCAGATTGCAAACAATGGAACACGTATATGAATTTAAAAAGCATTTTCATAGACATCTTGTGGTCAAGTCCTAAATATTTCACCTGGGTTTCCTAAAGACAATTCTCATAAGAGTTGGTGAGTACCAAAGTTTAAGAACTATTGGTTTATGGTAAAAAACAAAACAAAAAACACAACGCACAAACAAGAAGAAAGTAGAAATCAATCGATTATGACTGGGTGCTCACACAAAATTGTGAGTTGCCATGAGACACTCTAATTTCGTATTTCAGTTAAATGAACTGAGGTCATGAGAAGGACAAACCCAGGCAAGCTAACATGCACATATCAGAGCCTGAAACTATGGATAGAGAAACTGTTCCAGCCACAGAAAAGGAATCATTAGGTTTTACTAATGTCTTACAAAGAGAGAAACGTATGGGGTGATGTGAGAAGATAATAATGTCCAGATTTTTAATGTTCAGTTTAAATGTTCAGTTTAGGTAAAAGACACTGATTTGGATGGGGTAATTCTGAAACAAAATATTTTAGCACATTCTAACACACTGATGTTGAAAGGTCTTTCTTTTTTAAAAAGTGCAAATGGGACAAAGCTAATGGAATCAGTTAAAAGGCCAGATCTGATCATGTAGGTTTAAGAAAGAAACAATAAATCCTGTTCAATTAACTCCTCTCCGGGCCATAAAAGATGAAGAGAAATGAGCCATCCCCAGTTCATGCCTGATCTGCATTTATTTCTGTCTTGGCTATAGAGATATTTCTAGTGTGTAAATACCAATGTGAGACGGGATGGGGTAAGCATCTGAACAGAAGCTCCACACTTAAATCAGCATCGTCTGGCTAAGATGGGACATTATTGTCCTAACTAAGCTGATGAGATCAGAGGGAACACTGTAATGTCCTGGTCAAACTACATTGCAGCAGTGACAGGCTGTTTACTCAAAGGCTGCTGACAAACTGCTTTTTCTCCTGGTTATAATATGTAGTGTATCTCATAAGATTGTTCACTTGGTGACATGTTTCAGTAGTAAAGGGACCAGATATGTTGTCATTTCTAAATTCCTTAGTATGATAGGCAAAACAAAACAAAAAAACCAACAAACCAAGTTCATAGATACAGAGAACAGGTTGGTGGGTGAGGGGTGAGAGAAAGAAAAAAAAAAGATTATCTTAATAAATACTTTTCTATAAAAGAGAAATTCTGCATCTTCTGTCACAGGGACAGAGTAACAGATGCTGCCATACCAACTGATTTCCACAGAAATATGCAAGTCTCTAGAATGTGTGTGTTCAGTGGTTTTGGACTCAGGGTGATGGCGGCCTTTCCCCACCTTGTTCCCTGACGCAGTCCTCTCATGAGTAGCTCCAGCAGGTAGGTGTTTGTGAGCTGCTGGCTGAGGTTAGAAGTGTTGATTCTTAAAAAGACTTGTTTTCCTCTAATTTCTAGTTAGGTCAATTGACTTCAACTAATAAACCCAAGATTTAGGCAGGCAGAATGAAGTCAATTCTAGCCTTCCCAGGTCAATTAGTTTAGATGACAAAAAAGTGACCTTCCTCAAATAGAAACACTCATTTTTGAACCCATTCTACATAAAAACTAAGGTAACTAATATAACATTGACTTTTAGTAGGATAATTGACTATGTGAAATTATTTTAAAAGAAAATATAGATGAAAACTTATACTTTGGGTCTTTAGTCTTGTGAAACCACATTCACCTTGAAAATACACACGACTGCATTTCTGGTTCTTGTTATTGGTCCGTAACCTCCCTGGCTGCCAACTCAGTGCATCAGTCTTTGAAGTCACACTTGTAGCACAGAAACTTCTTGTTTAGGAAAGATGCAAAGCATCATGAATGCCTGCAGTCTTGTCCTGTTCTTCCTTGAGGTTTCAGCTTACAGCTGGTCTGGCTCAGAAGCAACTGGTTGAAAGGCTTAAAAAGCCATCAGTTTGATTCAGATTTATATTTCCCCCCAGAAGCCATGCAAGGTCCAGACTGCTCAGTTCATAAGTGTAAGTGGAGGAGTGCGTGCCCCTTGGGTTCCATACGTGCACTTCTAATCCAGAAAGAATGGAGTCCTAAAAAGCTTCCTAAAACAGCAACAGAAGGAGAGCTTTAAAAAACCATACCTTACAAATTAAAGCTGGGAAACTGTAATTGTAAAAAAATCTATATATAAAACTTTTACTAGTAATACACATGAATTTAATCACATACAGACAAGAAGCTCATGTAATGGTGTTCATATATCCAAGTACCCATTACTTTGAGAATAAAATAAAGATTCTATAACAACTCACAGTCAATATTTGCAAACAGTACTTAAAAAAATGATAATGTAACCCAAGCATGTCAAACTTGCCGCCCGCGAGCCGCATGCAGCCCACAACGAATATTTTTGCAGCCCAGTCAATATAACGGTATGTAAGAAACGTTTTAATAAAAATTTTGTAACTTAATTTTTACAATATCCTGTTACACATAACTATTAATAACAAACTACAATGTTCACTAATGACTGATTACTATAATCGTGTTGCATTCATTTTCCTTACACACCTTATGTGCAGGCACACCATTTCTCTCCACTAATACTAGCAGCAAATATTTTAGCAGCCGGTTGCCATGTCATTAGTCTTATACTAACTTGTTTGGTGTGCACAAAAGGAAATATTTCGCTTTCAGAGAACAAGAAAAATAGTTTTATTTGCATTATGCTTATTAATTTGTGCAGTTATTCAGTGTCTGGTAAGTTAATGTTCAAGAAAAAATACTAACTTTTACTAAAATGTTTTATTATTTTATGTTAACGATTACTCATTTATTTTAGTCCTTTGTATTCAGCATGTCTCTATCGAAATAAACCTACGTTTCTATGAAAATTGAAACTTGTTTTTTTGCGGCCCACATAAACTTAAACCTTGTTTATTTGGCCCGTGTTAGTTTTTGAGTTTGACATGCTTGATGTAACCCACAGCAAACAAAGTGTATTAACAAACAATTTCAACCTCATTTAAACATAGAAAACCCGTTTCTGTGTTGTACTCCTTTAAAGTAGGTAAAGATCTTAGGAGCCTTTTGACCCTTATTTAAAAGAACAAAGATGATTAATGAACAGTGCCATTCTTCATCTTTGAATTTAAAACTTACACTAAACTAATGGAGAAAGTTTAGAAATAGTTTGGGAATGAGATTCCCCTTATAATGCTCTCCTTGGAATATTCACACTCTTCGTAGGGCTGATGTCCTCTGGAAAGTGGAGCCCTTAGATTTGTCCTTATCACAAGAGGGCAGTGACCTCACCTCATGAGGGGACGAGGCACTGGCCAACTGTAAGTACTGTAAGTATGTAAAATCTTCATTTTATGCACTGACTCTTCATTAACTTGTATACCACTAATTGGCATTAGTGACATATTGGATACATTTTTGAAAAAAAATCCCCCCCTAGGCCTAAGGAGATTATCTGAAAATAGAAACTTCTTAAATACTCTCGATCATCAGAGATAGTTTAGTTAAATATGTCAATCAATAGATATAATAATAAGCACATTAACATTATTGTGGGAGGCACATTATACTCATTTCGTCAATAAGGACATAGAGATTTTAACAGATTAAAAAACTAGAATCCAAGTCATTTCATATCTTTCTTACCATTCCTCCCATTGTTTTATGCTGACACTTAAAATGTTGGTTAAAAAAACATCACCATAAAAAGCTTTTCCTATAAGTAAAGAGGCTGGCCTCCTTCTCCCAAACATCATAGCAAATGATGTCCCAAATATCTTAGGTCTGTTCCCTTCTGGGGAGGGAGAAAAATTAAATCATACAGACCTAGGAAGGCTCTGACACCTATTGGCTTTATTCTGAACCATAACTCTCATCATCAGATTCTGGGTGGTCTTAAACCACCCACAAGAAAGCATTTGTGTTTGGAAACAAATGCTGCATGCATTAGAAATCTGAACTTAACACCATATAAGGACAAACATGCTGTTATGCATTTCACAATATACACGTGTAGCAAATCATATTGTACATCTTTAACTTATACAATGTTATATGTCAACTGTATCTCAATAAATCTTGGAAAAAGAGTGAATAGATGTTAACAAACTGAAAATAAAGTGAATGCCTAGGGAGGAATTTAAAGTTTTATTTAAAATAAAATAAATTAATCCCGTTTTTTTTTTTTTTAAAAAGGTCTGTTATGGCTATTGCTGCTCTTACACATCACCTAAATGGAAATCCAGTGCTTTCCTGAATTATGAATGAGCCCATGCCAAGGAGCCAAGCTGACTAAACATGACCTTGAGGAACTAAAAGTCCTATACTTGCTTCACAATAGTAAGCTGCTGAAATCAAATTTTTAAATAAGTATATTCTCTAAGTTGGAGAATTAACCTATTGTGGGAAGTCTGAATTGCTTTTTGGAATCTAATGGATTGGATTCCAGTTAAAAATGTGGCTGACCCTTGAAATAAAGAGGATCAATTTCCCAAAGAGATACAGTTACCCCTATCTCCTATTTTCTTTTGAAGATTAAGCTTCATTCCCCAAGTTTCCCACATTAAGTAAATGCATCCCATGAAGAAGTACTTTTCAGAATCTGGAAAATGTTATCTTTTAGAATGGGCTCAAAAGATTATTTGCTGTTCTTTGCCCTAGCTGGTTTGGCTCAGTGGATAGAGCACCGGCCTGCAGACTGAAGAGTCCCAGGTTTGATTCTGGTCAAGGGCACATGCCTTGGTTGTGAACTCGATCCCCAGTAAGGGGCGTGCAAAAGGCAGCCAATCAATGATTCTCTTCACTGATGTTTCTATCTCTCTCTCCCTTTCTCTCTAAAAATCAATAAAAATATATTTTAAAAAATACATTATTTGCTGTTTTTAATTTTAGGGTAAAAATGGAAATGATTCATTTTTTGAATTCAGAATGTCTCATTTACATTTACCAGAATTATGTAATAATTATAACACATCTTATAAAGCTAACTAGAGGCCCGGTGCACAAAAATTTGTGCACTCGGGGAGGGAGGGGGGGCCCTCA